TATGACTTCCGAAATCAGGAAAAAAACGACATGACTTCCAAAATCATGTAAAAACAACATAAGAAACTATGGTGAAATCATGAAACGATAACCTTATTATGTCGTTTTCTCATGATTTTGGACGCAACGTTTTTTCCTGACTGATGGTTGATAATCGTTCCTACCTGAGTACTGCAGGTGAGCTCCCAGGAAAGAGTCCAGCAGGGATCCCAGCAGCCCGGCCACCCCTCCGTACACCATGATTGGCCACTGGGGGTCCGACTGGTGCAGGTTGCTGACCGTCAGCAGCTGCGTCACAAAGTAAGCCACGCCCACAGCAAGTCCACCGAGGAAGCTGGCGACGAGTCCGACAGGCGTAACCCCTCCGTTAGTTCCTGGAGGTTAAACAGAAAAACCTTGAGAACAACGTGTGTCAACAGTTTATACTCAGTTTGTGAAAGTACAATAAATCCTCAACTGGTTTTCGACTCATTCATTCATCTTCTTTAAATGCAGCCTTTCACACACGGTGACAAACAGCTGGTGTGTTCTGTAGCTTCAGGTGTAATCAACACGCTGATTCCTCACTGTGACTTCACAATAAGAGACCAGGGCCGATACCTGGGAGCGAGCTGAACTCTGTCTGCTTCTCTGTCGGTTAACTGGCTTCACTAAGCGTGACCTCAGTGCAGAGAGTCTGAATCCTCGTTGCATGAATAGACACGATAACCACGACTGAAGCCGAGCACATCGGTGGGAAGAGGTTTGGATCGAAATGTCTGTTCCTGTGAATCATGTGTGAAACGTTCGTTTCAACGCTCTGAACAGGGTTAGTTATTGTTTTAGATTTATTTTCTGTCGTAGCTGCAGCTTCTTCACATCAATGTTTTCAGAAACACACTTCGTTCCAGCCGCTGCTCTGAACATTTAAAAACAGCTCAGACTTTTTTCCAGTCACTAAAAAAACAAACAACAAAACTTTTTAAAAACTTGAATAAACCAAGAATTTTGATTTATGGATTGATTTGTATTTGTTTTGGGGCCGATGCAGATTATGGAGTAAACTATTTTAACGATAGCCCAACCCCCAATCAAACCCTAATGACGCTGCCGTCTAGTGAAAACCTCTCAATGAACACAGCCCTCGGAGGAGCGAGGATGGGAGGAAGCACAATGAACTCACCTGCTGGGACTTCCTTCCAGGTGGTTATGAGTCTGGGCTGTGATTTGCTGAGGACGGGCCCCACCTCAGACGCCCAGGTGTCCCCGGTGCTGCATGCGAGCGCTCCCACGAGCGAGAGGCACATCCAGGAGGCCGAGTACTGTTTCCCGAAATCGATGGGCATCTCACCCGGACCCACCTGAAACACAAACGCCATTTCTAAAGAGTTAGTCACAAACTAAGAGGAAATAAACACGATCTTATCTAGATATAACTAGAATTACCTCAATCATGTAAAGCAGTGCCAGCTCAGTGGGGACTCCTCCGTTACAGAAGACCTGAAGCCAGTTCCTCTCGCCCCCTGACAAACACAAACGTTAATTCATTTAAATGAACATTAAAAAACAAAACAAAACAAAAACGTACATCCTCGTGCCTCGAACCTTCTTTGTACTCTGCGTCTATCTTCTTCTTCTGTGCTCCTCCCCAGCGAGTCAGTTTGGAGGAGGTGATGAAAAACGCCAGCAGAGACGAGAAGAAGCTGTAGTTCGCCATCGTCAGCACGAAACCCACCAGGAGAGCTGAGGAGACACGTTTCACATCAGTGAGAATCCGACACACGGGTTAAAATAAATCACCTGACAGGTTATTATCACCACGATGATGAAGCTTTAAAGCACAAACCTATTTGTATGATTGTTTAATCCCGTGTTCAGACTCAAAACAACCTTCAAGCAAACGTGTAAAAACATTTTAGAATCCTGTTTCTCAAATGTGAGACATCGTTTGTGGGATTCAGTCAAAATAAACTAGTGTGATGAAGGAAACTGTGTCGTTGTGTAGTTGTTGTGTTCAGCTCTATGGGACCATGCATGTCCGCACAATAGTTGTATTCATGGTTTTGAACTTTAATGGGATTAGTTGATGAAAAGCTTCCACAGTTTTTTTCTCATTGACCATCAAAACGTGTCAGACCGCTGTGATGGCCGACATGACGTCATCTTTTCCCACCAGCATCTTGAAGATTTTTATTTTTTTAATGCTTTTAAATTCTAATTATTTTCTGTCTGAAGTCTCCGACACCTCAGATTTAAATTTCTGCAAAACACAATGGCATCTTTCAGCATTTTTATAAAGCATATGTTCCCATTTCTTCTGATGACTGTCCCATGTTGCATTGCCAATGTCAGCTGTGTGGACACGAGCATCAGATAAAGAGTTTAGAGAGAAACAGTCGCCTTCAGAGCCTCAGCCAAAGTTTTCCAGGACGCAAACAACAGTTACTTCATTCAGGCTCCCAAATTAATGCTTCTATTTTCTAAAACTTTTCACGTTTGTCACAAACATGTTTATAATAGACAAAAATAAACAAGTTATTCTTTGTGCGTCTGTCCTGGATTTAATGTTCAGAGATCTGAATTTTTTTCTAAGAATCATTGTGAGGTTGATAGAGCACAAGTGGGATTAGTTAATAATGAATGATGAATTCATAGCAGAGCCTCGAGGCTGATGACGGATTTCTTTAAGGATCACAGGACCAGAGCAACTTCGGATTCATCTAAATCCCAGTAAATATACTTTTTATCCAGTAAACAAGATGTGAGGCCTGTTTATAAAAATGGGAGTTAGGAGTTTTCCTTGAAACCAAACGAGGTCACTTCTCAAACACTCTGCACATTTTAAATTAACTTCAGATCAACACAACACATTATTGACAAAAAGTAGCGTCATCGTTATTCGGCTGTTTTTAGAAAATGAACTCAGGAAAATTGGGTCCGTGCAATTTCCAGAGTTTGTCTTTCACTTGTGAATCAGCAGCAGCTGGATCAGACTCGTTCACAACAACAGGAACACGTGAGGAACGTTCAGGCGACGTTACCAGACATTTTACTAAGAGGCTGCAGGAGAAGATCCAGAAAATATCTGGAGCAACTGAGTCGGATATTTGTTCCCACACGCAGAACCTTTTAGGAAAACGTCCAGACTTCAGTGCAGGTTTGAAATAGTAGTGAGTTTTACAGTAAAGTGAGGAATGATAAATGTCAGCAGACATTTAAATTGAAGTGGACTCGTTTTGTTGTTCCAGACTTTGCAGAAGGAGAATTTATCACATCTGTTGAATACACTAAATATTAAAGCTTCTTTTTAATCCAACATTCTTTTACTCTGATTCCTGTTGATGCTCTGACTCTTATTTTCTCTCAGGGCAGCTCAGAACAACACGAGCAGAAATAACAACTGGAGCCTCTGTTGGGTTTAATAACAAGAATCATCCACACTCTGTTTATTAGTTTCCAATTTCTGAGCTCATCTGACATCACCACCTAAATGTCTCTGCTTCAAATCAACGTGTTTAGTGACAGTTTCTCTTCAGCCTGATTTTCAGAATCACAGATGATTTCTAGTGTTTTTCTTCTATTGTTGAGTTTATGTTTCACTTTATCGAAGGTGATTTATCTGCAGGTGTCACAGTTTCCTCTCGTATGATGTTAAAGACTTGATTAATGCTTCTGACAATGTTTTTTGTCATTAACAGTAGAGCCTCACATATGAAACCAGGGTTAATGGAGACAGATGTCAGAACGACTAATGATTGGTTCAGTGAAGCAGGATCAAGAGTTCCACATATCCTGAATATGTTGTTCTTTTTTCTCACAAAATGATGAGAATGATTCCGAGACAAGCTGCAGGGTGGAGAGATAATTCTCTACAAACAACTCTTTCACAAGACGTGATATAATCCGTGGACACAAACACTCACCTCCCAGCGCTCCTGAGCGATCCAGACTGCGCCTCTTCAGCGCTCTGACTGTCACCACGAGGGGAACCAGGATGGAGAACAGCCATCGCCACGGTGACACAGGCTGCAGTGTGCCTGTTAACACACACACACACACACACACACACACACAGTGGTTTTACACGTTTTGTAAATGACAGGATGAATGGACAGTGGCACAAAAACCTCGTCAGTTTTTCTAAATGAATTATCAGTTCGAGACGCAAATATAAGTTCTGTGGTTTGAATTACTAGAATTACTGCCTCACAGTGGAACACTGTCTGCAACCAGTTTACATCTGTGTCTGCCCACACTTGTATATAATGTTGTAAAAGACCTCAATACATGCTTGAGCTGTGGCTAAACATGTTAGCGGCTGTCGCTCGTGGACAAACCACGGAGGAGTCAGTGTCTTGTGATGGAGGAGCTACAGGCAGGTGTTATGACGGTGACAGGTATTTTGAGTTTCTATTTCCTTACACAAGATCAAATAAGTTCAGAAACTTCTGTCTGATATCTGAACAGTATGTCAGACTACGTGGTAAACTTGCTGAATGATGTATTGAGGTCACACACAGGAATGTAACCACATTCAACAGTGAAAATGATGTTGGTCAAGCTTTAATCCGTCCTGCGTTCACGGTTGGGTAAACCCAAACTGAGCGTGAACAAAGAAGAATTTACGGCAGTTTTCAGAGAAGAGCACATGATTCACTTGGACTCCATTTCTTTTTAGAGGGCATCCTTCAGGATAATTCAACAAGGCTCCGTGCAGCTGCAGAAATCTTACAATTCTTGATATCAAGATACAGCACACGGGCAGCTCACCATAGTAGGTGCTGATGGTGAGGGAGGTGACCCAGAAGAAGAGGGAGAGTGCCAGAGTGGCACACAGCACGATCATGTCAGTCATCATCTTGATGTACTCCTTTATCAGCACGCCGTTCTCAGAGGTCATGGTGGTGAGGAAAGAGGAGTCGAGCTGCGAGGCAGAAGAACAGGGGATCAGTGTGTGTTTGAGTTTTACAGCTGCTGCAATGAAGAGGAACTCGTTTCTGTACGTTATTGTTGTAGAACATGAAAACATTTCACTTCCACAACAGCAGGAGGTGAAATCAGCCTGTAACCAGAAGATCCATCATGATTCACAACTTCAACCCCAATTCAAAACAATTGATGGAAACAATAGTAGAATTCTGTATTTGGACACAGATGTTAAGCAGGTCCAATGTTGGCAGGCTAACAGTTACTAATTTGCACTAATTTGAAGTTCCCTGAACAGGAAGTAGGGAGATTCTCCACTTCCTGTTGACTGTGGGTCTGAACGCAGCTCATGAATGTTAGCACACAACAATTCATCCAATAGTCAATAAGAACATAACCCTAACAAATCAACTATGAAAATAACTGTTTTCAAAAAGCAGCATAAAACAGCTGAATGGACTTTGCCCCTGGGCGCAGTGTAACCAGGGATCCTCCACGTTGACAGAAGGGACATGTTGATGTTCATAACTGAGATATTTTAGCTTCATTTTAGTACAACAGGAAGAATTCGAGACAGATGTCAGTGAGTTTGAGTGTGGAGAGATTATATGAGCCAGACTAGCTGGCTTGACTATTTTGAGGCTGCTGATCTGCTGACTACACAAATACACACAGACACACAAGTTTTCTAAAAACAACCTGGATTTATCTGCTTGCAGTTGTACGCCTGCTCCACCTGTGAGTCAGGTGTCAGCTAACATCACTGTTGTTTAATATATGTTGTATAGACGGAAGAATTGAATAAAGGTTGTTTTGGGTGTTTTTGGTCATAATTAGCAGGTGAACTCTTCAGTGACTTTGTGATAGAAATGTCTCGATTCTAGAACCTCAAAGAATTCCTGAAAATGTCCAAAACAAAAGTTAATGTATTAATCAGAAGTAAGGATATGGCACCAGTCAATGTTCACTTCACACTATATTGAACTGAAACCTGAGGCTGCACTGACAAACAACTCTGCTCAGTTTGAGACTGAAAAATGCAGCCGGCTCTGATGGACGTGGATTTTCCTCTGAAGCTACAGACGCTCAGGCTGGAGTCAACAGCAGGAATCCCCAAAGTCGACCTGCCAGGTGTCAACAGTCGCTGCTGCTGCTGCTGCTGGGATCATGTGTTGATGATTTCCTGTCACACTTTAGGCTCTGAACAAACCAACTAATCATGTATGGTTTGTACGTCAGAGTGTGATGCTGCTGAACAACGGCTACTTTCTGCAGGATAATGATCCATGTGACGAACTGGTTTCATGAACGTAATAAAAAGTTCAGTGAACTCTAGTCACAACCAACAGAACTGAATCCAAAACTTGTAAATCAAGACCACAAGTGCAACCCTAGTACAGTGTACACAAAGTTTAGGGAGTAGTTAAACTTTCAACATTTGCACAACGACACAAATACTTTCAAACGATACGTCAGGAGGTCGTGATGTGTTTAAAACCCACTCTGCAGTTTAGCCTGAAGGAGAATAAAGTTTTTTTAGTCAATCAGTTCAATTTAAAAGCTACTGATAATAACTTAAAAAATACACAATAGACAGATGATATGAATTCAACAACGTACAGAGAAAAATATTCTAAATTAAAAGAAAAACAATAACATACTGAATGAAATCTCAACTAAAGAAGACAAATAAAGAAAACTGAATAAATACAACATTTAAATTCAATCAAAAAAAGGGGGAAGAATCTAAAAACGTGTATGAATTATGTATAAATACTTTAAATATAAAATGCGGTATTCGGTGTGGAAGCGGTGACGACATCTCTACACATGAGCTGTTTCAGCTCGTGAACACGCGAACATCTGTGCGGACTGTCCCTCGGGGCCACCGTACAGGTGACGTGTCGACAGGTAAATCAGTAATTGACAGGTTTCTTTAATGAGCTTCACGAAGGTTTGAAGTTAATTAACATTTTTGATCCGTGTTTAACTCGTGACTTGTTTCACTCACCGGAAAACTCCATGACGAGTCGCTTTAACCCGCAAACTACAACCCGGACCAAGTTTGGCGCGGACACGCGTGAAGCTACAGGACCAGACTTCTTCTTCTGCAGCAGCTGAGACACATTTAATAATAATAATAAGAAAAAGAAGAAGAACAAGAAGAAGAAGAAGAAGAGGAGAAACCCGCTGGATCTCCGAACCCGTCACCGGAAGCAAAACGGAAGCTTTTACTTAAAGGACCGACTTCCGGTAAGAGAGCGCGGACTGCTCTTAAAGAGACAGTGTCGAGTGACGTCAGGTTTTCCCACTTCCTCACTGTCACTTGTGAAATCTATTAATTAACAGTTTGGAAGAAAGAATCTGTGGAACCAAAAAATAAAAGATATATATTTCATCCCTTCACGTCCACGATGTGACTGGATTCATTTCATTTGGAGGAGCCGTGGGCACAGCAGGACGTTTTTACTGCTTCATGTTTCCTCTCTTTGGTTTTACAGCAATTAAACAAGTGATTTGAACTCACCCACTGTGCAATAAATATTTATTAATCACACACTGTGAAATAACCGTACTATACCTACCTTGCAATTAATCATGACAGAGCAATAATGTGCAATACTCATCCACCCACTGTGCAATAAATATTTATTACTCATACTGTGCCATAATCACTGCTGTGCAATACTCATTCATGTGCAATACAGATACTTGAACATAGTTACATGTTTATTTGTGAAAGTTGTCAATTTCCACTATTTAAAATAAAGTATTTTTAACTTTTTAGTATTTTTGTACTTGTATGTTTGCACTGTGAAGGAGTGGCACTATAATGTCATTGTACATCCTGTTAAATGACAATAAAGGCATTTTTATTCTTATTCTTATTCTTAACTCTGATCCTGCTCAAGTCGTGTCTGTTGAATAACCCATCAGTCAATTCAAGGAAATGTGTCTTGGAGGTAGGGCTGGGCGATATGGCCTTAAAACAAATATCGCAATATTTTTAGGCTATATCGCGATGCAGGATATTTATCTCGATATTTTGTTATCTCTGCTAAGTCACTGAGCAAATATTAAATTCGTAAAAGTCCACCTGGAGCCATCTGCGATGCATTGAGTATATTCGATACATCGCCCAGCCCCACTTGGAGGATTCAAGGAAATGTATATCAGATCTCTCTCTATTAATGTTTACACTACTGTTGACCCGGACATAATTCAGAGCTGTGCACAAGGTGCTGCCTGTAATCTGTGGTCACATGGGAAGCATCTTTCTCCCAGACAGCGGAGCACAAACACAGCCCTGTCTCACAGCGTCCACACAGTGGTCCTCTTGCACAAGAACACTGGCTCTGTTCACTGTCCTTTAGCCGCAGCATCCCAGTTTTTAAACAAGCACCCCCTGCATCACTCTTGGTTTTTCTGGGAATGAGGGATGAAAAGAAAGTTTAACATTTAAAACACAGATCAGTCATGCTATGGATGGATGCCGCAGGAGATGCTCGAGGCGTTTTAACAAACTGTAGGACTTGTCCAGTGTACAGCTGATTTTAGATCAGCACTGAAGTTTTCAGGAAAGGGGATTCACAGCAGCGACGAGCAACACTCTGTCCAAATGTATGTGACTCTTAGATTACAATGAAAGTTGGTTTAGAAGTTCATGGTCAGACTGGCCCAGAAAATAGTTCATAGTTGTTCATGGTTTCCAGATGATGAGTCCAAAAACTGTGATGATCCACTAAATCAGAATCAGAATCAGAAATACTTTATTGATGATATTGATCTAAGGCTTCATCAGTGACTGTTTATAAATTGGATGAATCATAGAACCTTTGGTGATTGTCTAACTTTTCCTCTAGTGCCACCATCTGGTCGAATACCTTGGTTTTTGACCAATACCTGTAACTTTAAAGACGTTCACATTAATCTCTGTTTGTCGTTAGTGCTCATTAGCTCATGTTAGCATGCTTACATCATACTTGTCCAAAATCAGCATGTAGCTCGAAGCCACTGTCATGGCTGCAAACTTCTGGTATAGTTTTAATTTAAAAAAAAATTTGGAATATAGAAATTTCAACACAGTTTCGATGTGTTTTGTTGCTTCAATAACACACGAAACTCACGATTCAAAGTTGAGTTAAAAACCAAATGACGTGAGTTTGACAGAAAGATGTCGCCTGTTCCCGAGGAGGCAGAATTATAGAAAAGAACCAGAGGAAGGTTCAGATTCCTGCTTAACCTTAGCGGATGCATTAATATAAAATCATGCATTCTACCATTCCTCCATCCTTTCATCGACCTCACCCAATAAATGTTATAATGGTTAACTGCTGAATCAATTATAGAGTTTATAGTATTTTTCAAGCTTCAACGAAGTAAACATACTGTAAAAACTGTGTTGA